GCACAGCGCACTTTGAAAAGAAGTGTCTTGCAGCCAGAAGGAGGTATATATATATTATATAGAGGATTATAGAGGACCTATCCAAATGAAACCTGATCATTGTCTTTCATTTTCAGACTGACTTAAATGTCTTGGTCTTTGTCAGGTTACTTGTTGCAACTTGTTTTTGCCTACCCGATGTTTGATGCCATAAAGGACTGTAAAGCACAGATGCTTGAACGTGGCCTGACCATCAACACATCGGCAAAAACCACAGTTGTGTCAGGCTCTCCCCACACCCTTCTGGGATATACCTTAACTTGGCGCCTGGTCTTCTCCATTTTGGCGCCATTGCTGGCCCCCACACTGGCACACATCAAGCCGCTTTTCGAGGGTGCGCAGCACAATGTGCATCTGGGTGGTTGTTTGGATTTGTTTTCTAGGCCTTCACTTGGAGCTCCAACCTCATAGCGATGGCCTCCACCCTAGTAGCGATGGCCTCCAACCTACTGTTTGGATTTGTTTTCTATTTGTTGCATCACTGTTTGGGAGTGGTTATCACCATGTGCGAATGACTCCCCAGGCATGATATGGTTTGGAACAGCACCGAGCTGATTCGGGCAAGTCGAGATGCAGAGTATTGGATCAAGGAGCTTGCAAATATGAGCCACCTCCAAGAACTCGTGTCCACATGACCTTGATCCCTTTTCGCTCCTCCGGCAGTGGTGAACCCGCGAGCGTCTAACAAGGTGAGTTGTCGTCTAAACGGTTTTTGTTCTCTCGCGAAGCGAGGAAGTGAGGCTTGGATTGAATGCAAAAGCACTCGATGTGAAAGGCCAGACCCAAAGTGTTTGGTGGTGAAAGATTGAGCTGCGGAAAGAAGGAAGAAAAAACAGAACATGCATGCATGCATCAAACTTCGTAGCCCGAGTTGCCAAGGCTTCTTTGTGGTTTGTTTTGGACATGACTGAGGGTGGACTAAGTTCATGTTTTTGATTGCGTGGTATTGGTGGTGGAACGTGGAGTCCCTGAATGCGGTTTCCTGATCAGAAGCACGCCTCTCACCCGTCTCTATGTTTTACATTGTTTTACATTGTTTTACACTGTGGTGACGTCAGAAATCTTGGTACTCACCATTTCTGGCATGCTTGCCCCAAAAACGACCTTAAGAACCACTTGGTAAAGGAGTGCTACCTGGACAGATGTCCCAGACCCATCAGAACCTTCGATCTGATTTCTGGCATGACATGGCAGTCTGAGAGTCATGAACGCCAGATTGGTGTCTCCAATCATCTTCTTCAAGGGTATGTGGATCTATCGGGATTGTTCATTTGCAGAACCGTAATAGCCTCCTCTTAGCTACTGGCCGCAACTGGTGAACCCCACTCCACGGGTAGAACGCTTCTTTTTGACTGCATGCGTCCCAACCAGTCAACGCATCCAGTTTTCTGGCCATAAACTATAGGGAAACCCTGTGTTTCAGAGGGAACTAACTAGCCCTTGATTCAAAAAGTCATTCTAGAGGCAGATCTTCACTTTGAGTCTTCGGAAGCACACCTTATTTCGACTGCGGCAACAGTGGCACAGCAGTGAGTGATCTGGGTTGCACCTCGTGCAGGCGAACGTGTGGCATCGCTGGATTTGGAGGGTATTTCCTGGTTGGAACTGAACGACTCCGGACAAGCGATATAGAACAGCGACTCCGGACGAGCCTAACCCAGGCGGAAGGGGCGCCGAGGAGGTGTGTAAGGTGTGGTTCGAAACTTGCAACCGGACCCCCACAATCACCAGGTATGAAATGGTATGTAGTGCTTTGGCCAGGGGGAAATGTGGTGCGGGAGTTTGGGGTTCTTTTGAGTGATGGCAGTGAGAGCGACTCTGTGATTCCTTGATCGCTCTTGACACTTGGCCCCACGTCGCCTTCGACCGTGGAGCAAAGACAAAGACGCCGTTCTCAAAGCCTGGTCAACTGGACCCTAAGTGTTCTTCCCGAGGTAGGTCATGCACTGGGCATGAGGAAAGTGAATGTGGTTGTAGGATGTTGTAAGGAAAAGTTTGTCAACCAAAGACTGTTTCTTAAGGACGACGCTCCCTGAAATCATCATGGGCCAACGTGGATGGAAGACGGCCCTGAGATCGGATAACCATGTTCCATCCACTCTGAAGACCAAACAGATGCTTTGCCCTCCAGTTCCATGGATTCTGTTGGTGAATCCTCCGATTCTGGGCCAAGATCGGACCCTTTGAAAAGGCAGAACACCGGCCGCGTGGGTTCCTGAACAAGAACATTTCCGGTGCGATTAGACACCTCGGAGATTTCATGTGCTGCATGGGTTCCTGAGAATATTCGGAAGAGGAAACGACCTTCCCTTACAAAAAAAGCACTTTTGGTATGGATTGAATTAAGTCTCTTCATCTTCCATGTGACATCGTCCCCAAAACCCCATGTTTCTCGTCCCGTCCCGGAGGCGCAGACGCCAACTTCTGCGCCCGGGGGCGAGCCGGAGCGGCAGACGTCGAGCGAGGATCAGTCTTCGAGAAAAGGCACGAAAAAGGGGCGGAAGACCCCACCCCCCTCGGAGTCCCGCCCTCCGATGGAGTGCTGAACGTTCCGAAAACCCTTGGAGTCCCACCTGTCCGCTCTGCCTAGGTGAAGGCTCAACAGGCGAAGCTGTTGCCCCACCTCTCTGGCCACGGCGATGGCCTGGGGTTCCAACGCTGGAGACTGGAGGGCGAAGGGAGGGATAGGGGCTTTTGGAATATGTTGGAATACTGGGTGGCTCACACAACAGGTGGCTTTGATGGGGGCTTTGTGGCTCACGCAGCGGCCGCCAGTTGCAAGGACGGCAAGGACGTTGAATCAGGCACCAGCACTGAACACCGGCTCATTGTTGTGGGACAGGTGGGACTGGGACGGAACCCCACTGGGTCATGATGCGTATTTGGCAAACGGATTTATATATGGAGATTTCAAGTCAGCCAAATGAATCTGATCAGATTCAAACTCGCTTTTCCCTGACCGCCGCCACTACATATTCTAAAGGACCCCACGGTCAAATTTGTCCGACTAGGAACAGTGTCAAGTATCAACCCACAGTGCAATGAAACAAGATGAAACAAACAGTGAAATTTAGTACGGAACCCCATATTGTACCATGACAACTTCCGCTGGCGTGCTTGCATTCTCCTCACCTTGATCTCTCAAGATGAAAACCACGTCTACAGAAGCATAGATCCACTTTGTGTCGAGATTGTCATACGAGGAGAGGCAAACAAATTTGCGTCAAGGAGAGGCAAAGAAACTTGTCCCTCACTACGCTGAAAAAGGAGGCTGTCATGTCGGACATCTTGTTCGAATGGATTCTCGAAGCACCTTCGCTCTTCGAAGGTGGCTCGGCTGGTTTTTGCCACCAAACCAACAAAACCGCGGTTTTCACGAGAAAGCACAACACCATTCGTTCCGCAAGCAGAAAGGGGTAGGGTTGGAGTTGGCAAACCTCCAAAGCGTAGGCTGCCCCAGGTTGCCCTTACTCAGCCACAGGGCTAAGCCAACTTGGTCGCCCATGCGACACGCTTTCAGTTGCCCCAGGTGTGCCACGCTTCACACACTCCATCGCGCTGAGGACCGGGCACCCAACTATATCCCTACTAGAGATCCACTGGCACCCTCTGCGGTACGGTGAGGAAGGAGACTCTTTTATGCAGGCACCAGCCAGTCGGGTCCAACCACCGTACCGTACCTCAGAGGGTGGCAGTGGATTCCGATAGGGTATAAGATTGAGGTTTAGATTTTCGGGGATCCATGCATCATGCAGACAAATGCAGACAATCCATAGTCCCACTCGGGTCGTTCAAGAGGTCGCGTGGGGCAGCCGGGGGGGTAACCCGTTAGCTTTTTGGTCTATCGAACCGTTTTGGGACCCTGGAAGCACCAAAGCAAGTCAGACTGACATGTTATTTAAGCACCGTTGTAGAGGGAAGGCTTTCCTACCACAGCCATTTCAAAAGTCCTTGTTGGACGGGACCTTATTCTTCGATTATTTTGCGTTACCTTATCCTGCTTGTCTTGAGTGTCCTGTTTCCTTATTGTATTGATCCTATGTTCATATCATGCACTGATATGGTTCTCCTTGTCTTGCCTACGTTTTGGCTTTCTCGCGCTACGCCGGAGGAACAATGTGACCAGCGAAGCCTTGCTACAGGCTTCCTTGGCGACTGCGTGTTTTCCTCCGTAGCAACGACACGTGCTGTGTTTGTTCAACCTTTAGTTGAGATTACTGTATTGAACCCACTGACTAGTATCTTTCAAGCCCTTTGCAACATCAACATGAATGGCATCTTTTTGCATCTTTTTGCTGTGGCCATGTTCATATATTCTAGGATTGTAGAGTAACTTTCGATACAGTCCCCAGCGTATATAGCTAGAGATACACCACTGAAAAGCACACAGATGTTTCAGAAGGGCTGTACGTTTTCCAAGCATAGGTACAGTACTGTATACTGGATAGTGGGCAGAAATCAAGAATGCAACAGCTGCCCTTGTGAGTGTCCTTTGTTTCCCTTGCTGTTCCAGTATGTTCCGAAAATTTAATTGACTGCCTTTCTAACATGCACATGCACATGTTTTGCACAGTTGTTGGCGGTCACGAAGCCCTTTGATGCCATACGATTCTTTGGGTATAGGAACTTACTTAGGTTATCCTACCACTGTTAGGCCGGTAGTTTGGCCAAAACCGCGCTTCCTCCGTTCAAGACTGGAAGTGGCTTTGTCATTCGGCGAAAACAAAAAACATCCATTGGTCTCCTCAGCCTTCGATGCACAGATCAGATTGCGTCCTTTCTGAAAAGGGAGTTATTTTTACACTGAAGAAGCCGATTGATGAGTCTTCAGTCCTGCAGAGACTCTAAGAGATTCAAGCGGTTCCTGGGAATTTGCATTTTTTGAGAGCCGCAGTCAAGACACGACTGCCTGCTTCAGTTTTGTACCTTCAAAGTCCAGACTAATTACTACATAGTCTTTCACTATTCAGACTACTAGTCTCTTCAGAGTCGCAGTGATGATTTGCATCCTACTGCATTGTACGAAATACTGCGAATCTTGCAGGTTGTCGAGCTGAGGTAGCCACAAGTACCAGCAACACTAGCTCTGAGACTAGGGGATTCCACACAAAACACCTGGACATCACGGCCCTCTCCCCCGGCAGGGTGTTGACTGCCATGCACCACTGAGGGAGCAGGGGACCTCGTTATCGATGGATGTTCGACATAATGTGGGTTCAAAGAACCTATAGGAGGGAGATTCCTTGAAAGGAGATGGGGGACACAAGCAGAATGTGCAACTCTTCAATTCCAATTTCTTTGATGAGGGTCTAGAGTCTAGAGTTTGAGATTCAGAATGGATTTAAGAAATTGAAGTCCTACACTGTCATTCAATCTTTGTCCGGTCAAGATACAAGACTGGGCGATGTTTGCTTGTTTGAGGATCATGATTGATCATGTGATATTGATGGATATATTGGGGTCCGGGTGGAAAGATCGAACAGTTTGCATTCAAACATGTTGAAGTATGTGTAGGGTGTTGATTTGCATTTGGAAACGCGTCTGGCAACGCATCAAGTCCCGTTTGTCCACCGATCAAGTCCAGAATTCCATCGGTTCCCAGGGTCCGAAGGATCGGATTCGAGCGGTTTTGATCATCCTCACTTAGATCTTTGTGAAAGAATTCCACCCTACCCTGGTAGTAAAAATGGGTCACTCGATCTATGTGGAAGACTGAACAGCAAACAGGGTAGGACGTCTCGTATACATGTTCTGCACGCATCCTCTTCTCGTCGACGGGTCGGTCCGGTGGAAAGAATCCACTTGAGGATGGAGGATGTATGTGCTCAACTCGTGTGTGCTTATTGGGGGGGGTCATGGGTCGGTTCCCCAATCTTCCCGATAGATCTCGCCTGCGCCAACTTCAGACGACAAGGTGTTCCAACGTTTTCCAGCTCAAACCAGTCCCCACACCCGTCGGGGACCCCTCCGATATACGCGCCACAGGTTTCAATCGGCGCCGGGGCGGGGGGTGTTTTAAACCCCAGATCCAGCGTAGACGAACGTGTCACTCTTTGTCGATCCCCAGAACAGTCCCCGACCATCTATGAGACTGGAATAGTTATACAATATTCTTATACATTGGATTTGTCCGTTCTTACCTGTAACATCCTGTAACAGTCAGTACACAATTATTATACTATTATTGGACAAGGCCTTTACTAACCATAATGATCCACTGTTACAGATATTAGGATAGACCAAACTTACACATATACCATTAAATGGAAAAATACAATGACCCATCCATGTACGGTAAATAACTATTCCAGTGGACGTCAGCCCAAGTCACGATCCCGACTTGGCGGCGTCGAGAGTCGAAGCTTCGGCGTGACCAGGTTTGGCTTTGAGAACATCTCAGCGATTCTCCCTGCTTTGTTCACGGCCATGTGTGGTGTGAGCCTCTATGAAGCTGAAAACTCACATCCGGGCCTTCCGGTGAAGCAAAAAGTAAAGACGTGGCCCAAAAGGGAGTTGGAATCCTGGAACTCCTTAGAGACTGGTTGTTGATCTTGCGGCACAGCCACGTTGACTGGATTACACCTTTTGTGGTTCGGTGCACGCTTTTCGTTGGGGCAAATGTTGCAGCCCAAGGGGTCTGATCTGAGCAGCGGGTACGTACGTATTGATCTTGAATTTGATTCAACATGAAGACCTTTACCAAGCCCAATACAAAGGATCAAGCTTGTGGCGGAATACACTTTGAACACAGGCCAAAGTTAGTATTCTGTTGATTCCTGATATTAGGTGTTGTCAGATGTTGTTCTTTTTTCTCGGAGCCTTTGCCAACTTGGAAGAATATCTCCAGATGCATGCTTCATGCTTCCAGAAACTGTTGAGCATTTTTTAAGAGCACAACAACAGTGGGTCACTTGGCACACGAACGATGGACTGCCGTAGGAACCCACCGCATCACTTTCCATCGTTCATCAAGAAACAGAGGGACATGCCCGGAGGGTCTCAGGTGGGGAGAGGTCTATCCCGAAGCCACCACACAGGTGGTTCGGCGTTTACAGGACATGGCTGGGTGTGGCAATCCAAGAAAGCACGCATCGTTGACATGAAAGTGTATGACCCACAAGAGCTTCGAAATGCTGCCAATGTTGACCCCAAATGTTTTGTGATGCTTTGAAAGCGAGGAACCATCCAAGTTGGATTCCAACGTGATGTGGCCCAGGGCGAGAGAAGCCTTTGCCAGTGGAGCGGATTCGAGTGGAGCCAAAGCCACCCTGGCGCACTTGCTTTTGTGCGAAACAGGTCAAGGAAGGTTCAGTAAGGAAGACTTTGTTTGCCGCAAAAAAACATTTTTGGGTGGGAGCAATTCATGCAGCTCTTCCCTCAACAGTGTGTTGATGGCATGAAATTGCAGGCTCTTCCTCACCGCGTCACGAGATTGATGCTTGGATCATCCACCTACACTCCTTCAAATCATCATCGATGTGTGGATGGCACCACCTGTTTGGCATTTGGATTTCATGGTCATCCGAACTTGGGGCTGTCTTCCGTCCACGTTGGCCCATGATGACTTCAGGGAAGATAGACATGACATCACTCCACCCAGATCAATCCACTCTGGAAGCCCCATGTTGGACTCTCACCTTAGCATTGTTCCTACACCAAAAGACTTGGACCATGTTGGACTCCAAAAACACGGACAAAAGGCCACCCAAATGGCGATCGACCCGACATCGACCCACTTCCGTGCCGCCCGCGCGCTCGGATGTGCCGTGCCGTGCCACGCTTGGGGCACCAGGTGGGTGACGTCGCGCTTCGCGCGGAAGCGCTTCAAGAAGAAACAGCACAGCTGGTTAGATGGGATCCAGGCGGTGGAACATCTGTGTTTGAACGGCAGCGAGCGCTCTCGGGAGGGTCACGGTGCCTGTGTTCTTCTTCCGCTGTTGGTGGGTGCCAAACTATTGGGGAAGAGCAGGATGAAAGACACCCAAGGATATGCGAGGAATACATTCAACAAAGATCACAGCAGGCTACAGTCCCTGGAAGATCAATGGAAGTGAACAATTCAATTGCCTGTAGGATAACCATTTTCCTCTATACAAACAGGTGGGTTTCCACTTTCTTGCTTCAGAGAGTGTATCTTCCATAACCCACATGTTTCTTCATGAACATGAATGCTCATCCTAGGGCCGTATAGCAAGGAGGAGCGTTCCTGAAAAAACGGATCAACGACCGCGACCGGGACGGACAGACCGGACGTCAGGCGGCCATGATCCGGAGCGATCGCTTCATCGAGCTGGTGAGCGTTTCTGGGCGTATAAAAGAGCATGGTGGAATTTACAGAAAGGCAGATGAGATGAATGGATACCTGCTGCTTCCTGTCGAAATGACCTATAATTAATGGACAACTACATCCACACTTCCGTATTTGTCTGGACAAGACACTCATTGAAAGGTGCTGGGTATAAATCGATACCCTGCAATTGCAAGTCCAGTTGACTCAGTCAAATCGTTGCTTTGTAGTTTTGTAGTCGTTTTCTTTTAACTTCCTTGAGTGATGTTGTTGTATGACCAACACCAGTAAAGTGAGGTTGACCTGACCCTGTAGGGCTATTGCTTGTGATGAGCGGCTGTAGGACCCAGTCGATCCGCACCGCACCGCAGCGTAGCACCGCCTACCGCCTTCGCACGGCTGCCCGTGGCGAATCGGCGGCTGGAACGAGGCTGGAACGCGAATCTCGCGGAAGGACATCGAGCGGTTGTCGCCCAAGGAATTCGCGGATGCGCGGGAGCCCATTCAGATTGGTGGACACGGTCGGTGGGAAAGGTTGGAAGGGGCTGGATGGAGAGTTGGTGAGTGGAAGAAGGAAAGGCATGAAACGGATGACACCAGATATATCCGGATATCCTCCATACCCATTTCATAGACATCATTCTCTATAAAATGCAATCTCTCAGCCGATATGCAACAAGTAAGGGGGATATCCAGATATGATGCATCTGATGTTGATGGATTCCGGGGATCCAAGGCTGGAGCTTCGCTAGCTTCACTTGAATGGATCCCTCAATTGAAGTATCTCTGATATTGCAACATATGGAAACCATGTCGTTGAGAAATCAAGAATACGTTCTCCACCAGGAGGATGTTGCTGTGTATTTTGAGACAAATAGAGAGAACTTCCATGAACTTCCTATTGTTGTTTCACGGTGGGGTGGCCCTCCACTGATTTCTGGCATGACGGACCGAGTTTGGGTTTGCACCCAGTGCAAACATGTGCAAACTGACTGTGTCAATTTCCCAGGCTTTGACTGGTGTGGAGTTGGAGGAGCCCTTTCCCGTGGAGGCATGTGGAAAGCAACAGCGCGAGCAGCATGGCAGGTGCATGGACTTTGAACAACAGGTAGAAATAGATCGAGTTATAGCGGTTTTGCTCCTTTATGATTGCTTATTATATATAAGCAGGTCCAGACATCCTTCTATGAGGGTAGCTTTGTGCATTGATTCTGCTGCTGTGCATTTTTGACGCGCATTTTTGCGAGAGTCTTGGTATGTAACACCTTCCAAGGTAAGATGCTTTTACCGAATCCCGAATCCTTCACACATGGGATGAGTCACTTTGGAGTTTGCCCGAGGATTGACACTCTTATGTACAGCTCTCAACCCAAAGAGCATTTTTATGATCCAGACCGGGGAAACCATCCCGGCAGCTTCGGACTTGGGACTCTCAAACCGCGGCAGCCGCTGCGTATTTGTCATCTCTCCTCGTCGCATAGCTCCTCGCTCGCCCCCTTCTTGCCGTTCGTTTGAAACGGCGGAGGTGGAGAAGCTGCATCCTCCTCACATGCAGTACTTATGCTTCCCAAGTCGGAGAGCCTACCTGAGCCCCTCGGCAAGACGCAGATGCAGTGAAGCTGCATCGCTCGGTGTTCGGCTGCGTGGCTCGGTGAAGCTGGGGCTTTTTGGGGCCGCCAGGTTTGCACCTTGGTGCTCCAGGCATGTAGAGTGACTGCAGAGTGCATGCTATACAGCCTGTGTCATGTGGTGCACCTTTCCAAGACTACCTTCCTCTACAAATCAGTGAGTTCGGGACAGCTTCAGAGTTCTAGAGACAACACGTTAAAACAAACAGGGGTTGCTTCCAGCTGTGGAACGACCGGAAGGAAGTGCCCAGCGAAGGTTGTTTTGCACCACTGTAAGCACCTTCCACCAGCACCAGCACCTCACCTGACCTCCCCTCGCGTGGATCGCACGACTGGCGATGCGCCGGGCAGATCCGCCGGAAGATCCCACGCAAAACCTCTACGTGCCTTTGCCCTTGGATGAGGAGGCCGCTGAGACCAGGGGCGAGACGCACCACTCAACGCGCGCGGGTTCATTAGAAATAATCAGGACATATCAGGACTAATGGGGGGCGTCATAGTGAGTTTATTCGGGTGGCCCACGTGACCTCCATGAATAAGTTTTGTGAATAGTTTTGACTGGAATAACTTTTTGCCAGGGGGTCAGTTCAAGGGGTGTACAAGGGGCCATTGGAATAAATTGGTGACAAACCCCCTCTACAGACATAATCTGGAATAATTGTTGCCAACAAACATCTTGCTGACGTTGGCTCAACATGTGGATAGAAGTCAAGAAGGGCCAATGACAAAGAAGTAGAATCAGAAATATGTTATTTTTTACAGAACAGCATCAGGGGAGGTCAGAAAGCTATCAAGCTCAGAGTAAATGACACGGACTGCACCTGTCTTGAAGATTTCCAAGCCTATCATACCAACCAGTGGCCTGTGAGCACCATGTCAGCTTCCTTTGCAGCACTACTGGATGAGCCCTTCTGTGATTTGAGCCTGCCTTAACAGGGGTACGCATTACTACTCCGTCCACTGGATGTTCATGCGACATTCTCCCGCAGGTTTCTTCGGGCCTCATTGGGTTTGACGCATCTTTCTGTAGGTTGAACCATGGGCCGAGCTTCCCCAGATGCATCTCTGAGATCTCTTCTTATCCCTCATTCACTGCTGTCCCTGCACAGGGAGTGTAATGTGGGACTTCATGCCCATAGATCAACCATACACCCAAATGCTCAAAATGTATCCAAACCGTGGGTGTATGGATCATGCTTAGAACATTCTGGACTCTGGACCTCACCTATGTTTGATTTGTCAACAATGATCAACAATAAGGACATTACCTTGAGGAGGAGGATTGGATTTTACCCCAAAGCTCGCTCGCCGCTGTTGAAGCCCAACGAACCTCCTGATCGCAGACACGGAACGATCTGCAGCTACAGAAGATTTCGCCCCTTGGTAGGCGGGTTAGGCCCCAGGAAAAGGCGGAATCCATAAGCATCAGCAGAATAATGCGTGGGCTGTTCGATTTTTTTGGTGAAAAAGAGAGTTGGCTGGCAACCAGTTGACGTGGTATGACTCTACGATGGGGAGTTCTCGAACTTTTGCGCACACAGAGCAGCCCTCATGTTCGAGATGTTTCTCAACTTCCACTCAAACGATCCTTCTGTCGATTTGGCATGCATTCCCAAAAGGTGGGAACCCTCGCTGTGCACATGGGGAGATACACCAGGAACGACAGTTGGAAGTGGAGCTGCAAACGAAAGTGACCCTGGAAAGCGTGGGTGTGAAGCATGGGTGTCATGGCACGGAACACATACCAAGGACCTTCAGCGGCGAAGGACCAACGGTTTCAACGAGACCTGGGAGTTTGGGTTTTGGACGAAAACGGCCAGGACTTGTGGTACAATGCCGCGGCTTTTGGAACCTATTTCCAACGGAGGTGGAAGAACACTATATAGACTATCCCATAGGTACCTCAGTAGGGTCCTAAAAGGGTTACTTAACCTCTCGTGGTTATTCTTTGTTTGGTACCAGTCACCAAGACGAATGTCCCACGCTCCCAGGTTCGTGATGTGCAACCTGCGGCAGCAGCTGCAGCTTCAAGCGCGCGTGGCATGTGTACCACGTGTCACGGTGAGTGTCTTCTTTCGGGGCACTGGGAGAGACCACTTGTGGAAGAGGAGGTTCAAAGACTGGCCTTGAAGTCGTGAGTCACTTGATCTTTCGGCGATGTTGACGCCGTGAAGTACTGAGAATGTACTGAGAGACGCCATTCTTTTCACCTTCCAGACCACCCAGGGACACGCGGCGATCCGCGTTGCGGGTGATGCTTCCTCTGTTTGAGCGAATCAGTTCGCAACCTCGCATCAAATTCATCGAAATGAACACGTCCTCCCAGGTTGGAGCCCTTTTTGGGACATGCCTCCCAAAAGTGACTAGAAAGGATCACATCTCGACAGATATGGCGGCTTTATAGTGGCTTTACATAGTCGTGGGGTCTACTGTTACCGATTTCACGGTTTTGGCCGTCCATTTCCAGAACCAACGGTCGCCAGGCCGCTGCGAGAAAAAAAATCAGCAGACCCCAAACGAATGGACCGTCACCTGCCAGGCTCGCCCGGATGAGTGGCCGGACTCCTCCAAGCCACTGTGGTGTGGCAAACACAGCATCTTGGTGCAGCCTGTTCCGGTGGGATGACCTGTGACGACCGCCCGTGCTTCCGTCGGTGCTTCCGTCGGTGCACGGCCGGTCGATGTGGTAACACGCACTCCTTGAACAATCCCCTCAAAAGCATTCGATCGATATACTAATGGTTCCGGAATTGTGCCAATTCCACTAGAACATGTTGTTTGTTTGATTGTGTTGTTTATGTTGTGTGCATTTGATTGGTTTGTTTCGTTGTCGTGGTTTCTGAGGAAGAGGCAACAGCGTTGGAGTGAACAATACCTATGGCAATTAGCCCTATGAAATGGGGGGGGTCAACCCCCCGTATAAAACGTTTTATGGACATTCCAGGGGGGGTTGGCCGCCCTCATTTTATAGATATTTTGCCTGTTGCATCGTGATGCGTACAAAAATGAAACGGAATTGGACAGGTCACGTGTGTCTGAGATTTCAGACCATGTCTTTTTCGCTCAATCACCCGTTTCTGACAGATGTAGAATATATGTATCCCTCCTCATTTCATAGTAGATTTCAAGGACATGATGACATGTAGCGCATGTTGGCCCCCCCCATTTTATACAGGAGGTGTTTTCCTCAAACCCTCTCAAATTATAGACGAGAGGGGGTTGGACAGCCCATTTTATGTCTATAAAATGGGGTGCAAGACCCCCACCCGTAATTGCCACATGTATAGTGAACATATAGATCATACGATTGTTGGAACAAACTTCAAACTGCCAAAGTTTCGCATTGAATCCGTGCACAAATTCTGTGACTTTTGCAATATGGTCCTCCATCAAAGCTCAAGTCGATGAATAGTCTTGTGGGTCTCACTCAGCATGCAGCACGACAGGTGACCAAAAACTAAGATCAAGGTTTCCTGGCATAAACCCTTCAGATTCCAATGATACATTGCATCGGGAAGGAAAGCTACAAGCCAGAAAACATATCGCGGCTTACTTACCATGTTACTGTGTTTTTGACGACAAACCAAGCATGTATATATAGAGACGCACAAAACTACATGTAAGCTCCAAGTACTTAGGAAGGTGTTTGGACCCCTCAAACCCACCCACATCACCTTCCGGGGATGTGGTTGGAGCCCTTGTGTAGACATCATAGAAATGGCTGGGTCGTTACAAGTGTTCTCCAACACGCCCAAGTGAGGCCAGCGACGCTTCCTCCGGCCCGGCGATGAGCACGAGGTGGGTGTTGACACCGGTGGGCAGACGGGACTGCAGACATACCAAGCGAAAAGCCTTGTGTCTTTTTCTTCGGGAAGGGTGTTGTCAAAGGACGTCGGTATCCTCAAATTTGCAGGTCCCTTCCTCTTATGAACGTTCCAGCCATAGTCGTATGTGAGTGCAATTAATTTCACACCCTAGTTTGGAAGCCCCAATGCACGTCCACATGCTGGGCTCTAGGTCTTCAATGTGAATTCAAGTTCATTGGCTTTGTCAAATTTTCCATCTTGGGGCTCAATGCCACGATCCTTAGCTTGGTTTACTACACGCATGTCAGCCCAAGGATTCATTCATGTATGATCCGCTGCAGGAGTTGTATTTTGCTTGATTGCCTCCTTCCCTGCGTGGACCTGACGAAACACCTGGACCAGTGGGAGAACCGGTGGGAGAAGATCACTTTGTTTTGTTCATAGATCCGAATGCCTATCACCTGGTATCAGCAACGACTCCACCAGTTGACTAAATTGTCCCATTGACTCCACCATTCCTACACCCTACTTGTATGCATCCACATACCTTCGGTTGGGTACGACTGGGCCCTCCAAGACCCCCTACATAACAGTGTCTCCCTGCTCACCGTACCTCAGGTAAGGTATGTGGATCCAATAGCCTTTGGGCTTCGGCGTCCGCAGGTCTTGGACATCCACGACCTGGACGAGGACACGCTGCCTGTGTGCCTGTCTTAGAGTGCCCATACGTTATGGGGTCTTAATTGGGACATTGGATTCAGCCACTACTGGTTATACTGTAAGTTATAGCATGCTAGAGCTTGATGGTTCTTCTTTTGCCTTGTGAAAGCGGTTCAGAACCGCTGTGTTCATAGTATAGCCAGATTACATAGTATAGCCATTCTTTCATATTCTTAGTCACTAAGCTCTTTACATTTTTCTATAACCTGCTTCACCTCTTTTTTCACCTGTTTCCGACGAACGTCGGAGTCCCCTTCGCCGCCTCTTTCACCTGAGCCGAGACGAGGCGCTTCCATTGGCGCTCGGAGCTTCGGTTGGGAAGCCACCTGGCGTGTGAGAGGATCGCGCAGGAGAGGCTTTGGACAAGTGAAAGTGGGGGGAACAGGAAGGCACACTGTTTCCCTGGTTTTGCTGATCAGGTGATGTTCTATTTTCCCTATGGTTAAAGCCCCCTTCTGGGGAAATGTTTTGTTTTTTTGTGTGTGTTTTTTTCTGGGTTCCTTAAGCAAATCCAAGTTTCTGATCCCTTGCAGAAATTCTGTACATAAATCCTGCGCGTCCGCTTTCTCGTTGGCATGGACAACCAAGGGCCTCTTTTGCACCAAGGAACCAGGGGGTATATAACCAGGGGACCAAGGGACCAGAACACATGGAAAAAGGTTTACGGTGTGAGAAAACTGGACGTCCCCCCGATTGGGCAGGCCGTGGGCGAAAAAGACGGAACCGGCCGGGAAAACGGTGGAACTGAGGAGTTTTGGCGGGTTGTGCGGCCATGGGGGCATGGAAGTGGGTGATAGTGGGTGTTTTGTTTTGTTTGTTTGTTTGTTTTGTTTGTGTTCAAGATGTTTTTTTTTGAGGGATTGACTGACAGACTATTTGCGTGTGTCCAGAGACAGAATCAGAAATCTAGGCAAGTAGCACGAGGTAGCACAAGGATGCTTTGGGGTGATGTGTACATTCTGTACTGTCACAGCATGCATTTGGGCATTGGGGTTTCCAACATGCGAGCCTGATGGAGTCAGGATAGAGAGATTTGGAACATTCAACACCTACAACACCAAATGTATATCCCAATCACGCTGGCTACTTAGACACCTTTCCCATCAACCGTTGGTTCTCTTTCCACTGTGCTCACCAATCCTATGATGTTGGTCCATTTATTCGTGGTAGTCCGTTTTTCTTCCAAATGTTTCTCCTATCAGATCTCTCCAGTAGTGCAGATTTGAACTCCAGGACTTGCTGCCGAATGAGCCAAGCTTTGCGGATAATTTCCTCCACGAGTCCTTGCGGAGTTCCTTGGCCATTCTCTTTCGGCGGCTGGCGTGAGAAGTGGGTTGAGAGGCGGAAACGAGTCCAACACAGCTGCTGGGCCTGGGTGGAGTTGAATATTTCTATATATGTTGGGTTTGTCCATGTTTGTCCTACTACCTGCAACAGTCAGTAAGCAAGTATATATCACTATTTTAGGGGAGGCCTGCACGAACTATCATCATCCATTGTCACTTGTAATAGGATACTGTAGATCCAATACATGTTTGGGTCTAATATGCTTATCCCCAAGTGGATGGACAATGGACTTTGACACATTAGAATAGGGAAAGAAACCTATTCACAGCTGCAAGGACCACCACCAATTCAATGTTATATACACTGTAACATGTGCCTTCCCTTGCAAGTGTACATCACCATCCTTGCCATACATACAGCATCAGCATATGACAATTAACTTTACACCCGCGAAATTTAACATCAGCAACAAATAAAAATAAAACAATTTCTGTGCGGTATGTTAGCGTGAGGCAAGGTGAGACTAACATGGATCATTTCCAGATGCTGGATTCCCTGGATCTTGACTACTCTGAGGTATTCCATGATAGCCTCTCCTGGGTGCTGCATTTGTAGTGCGCCAATCTTCATTCCATCCTTGTGGTGGTCTATGTTAGTCTCCCCAACCACCTCTTCCCCTGAGACCGATGGTTTCCATACCCCCCAGGAAACCAAACGAGCAGGGAGGCCACGTTAGTGAGCACTGAGACTTGATGTCGTGTTCCATGATAGTTTTCGCGGGAGTATATCAGGATAACTGAAAACAACAAGTAATACATACAATGACAATGATCCAATGTTTACATATTTATATACATATAGGTTGTACTGTAAATCACAATTGTATGTATATCACAACACGTTAATCTATAGCTTACCTGATCAACTCCTGACCAGGCCACCGGGGCGCCTCTAAGGCCTGCTGGATGAGGAGAGCACCATCCAGGAATTGGACCTGCGAGGGAACGGCCTGACGCGGGAGGACGTGCCCGAAGCCTCAGAGCTCGGGAGAGCGAGAAGAGCGTGGCGAGGCGAGGCACGTTTTTCAACATGAAGAAAAGGGTATTCTTCTTCAGTTGTTTTTTTTGGGGGGAAAGTAGATAGGTTCTAGCAGGACAAAAGAATGACAAACATGGATGGTGGTGTTCGTATTCGTTTGTTGTTGTGGTTGTGGTTGTGGTTGTGGTTGTGGTTGTGGTTCTTGTTGTTGTTGCTGTTGGTGTTGTGGTTGTTGTTGTTGTTGGTGGTGGTGGTGGTGGTTCCTCTCTTTTTTGTATTTCTACTTTGTTAGGTTCCAACTCCTGGGACACGGATTGGACCTTAGGGGCAACAAGTTGTAGCTCCTGAAACATAGAGACTGAGACGTTGTCCTTTGTGGCTCCACCACACTCAATCAAATTTGATTGTGGTTTGAGGGATCCAGGAACAAATAGCGTTCAGTGTAGGACAACATGGTTGCATACAACTGCGCCACTTCCCTAAACTTCGGAGATTGGCAAGGTTTCTTCAGTTTTTTCAGTTTCGGTGTCCTCGGGGCGACCCATCGACACGGTTCCCGGCCGAATTCGACCCAGGACGAGCCCCTTTTGGTGGTGGACTTGTTGTTCCCGGCCAGTGAAAGGAAGTTCATTGCTTCGGACCACGAGGTGAACTACTTGTGGAACTACTTGTGGTGTTCTCCATGAAGTGTGTGTGTGTGTGTGTGTTCCACTTCATGGAGTCCATTTCATATTTGTTCGATCGAAGATGTTTTGTAGATGGTGTTGAAATCTCCAACCAAAGATGATCCAACCAATGAGTCCCAGAGTTCTTGATCCAGCAAAACCTGGGAGTCCTTGGCTCTTAGTATCGACTGCAACTCCGCATCTTGGGAGTCCTCGTCCACCCGAAAAATCCACCACCGGACGTCCGACTCTGTGTCCAGATTCCGCCGTTCGGTGAGAAACAAGAGCCGCACTGAGGAACTTGCTCTTGGATTTGGTCTCGAGCCACAAGAGCCTGGTGCGCCGGGCGTCTTGGGCCGGTTGGCCGGTGCGCCGAACGGCTGGACGGCGGAAGATTGTCAGAGCGCCTGGGTGAAGGCCCTGGGTATGACCGCACCATTTGAGATAAGAAGATTCCCACCAGCTGAGATGGTCATTTGGAGACAACCAGTCTCAGCCCATGACCTCTTCACTCAGGTCTGAACCAGATTCCTGTCTTGGCAATGCCCTCAGACCCGTCGGACCCGAGTGACGTCGCGGACTTGAGCTAAGTCAAAGGGAAGCTTGAACAAATATATTTTCTATATATGTTCTACAGACATAGACATCCACCAGTAGCATAGTAGCACAGGTCCATCAGGTCCTTGTCAAGTCATTGCTTGAGGAAGCATGTCGGTGATCTTTCGACCTTGTTTTTTAGGAGGAAGAGGCGGCCACCTGTCCAACTCTGAGCGGGGCTCCCCGCCGTGCGACTTCGGGGTGATACGTCACGGCCATTCACGGCATGGTTTGCGGGTGTTTGCGCACTAGATTTGGGAAGACATGTTCGTTGCATAGCAGATCCGATCCTTCAAAGGCAGGCGTACCCAAGGGGGCCTTGGGTGGCGTAGGCACTTCTCATTCCGACGTAGGGATTTGACACGATTTGACAAGACGTGATGAAGCCGCATAGAGAAAGATTATCTTCAGCGGCATTTATGACACTCCAGTTCCGTGCCTTTACTTTCCAGTCTGTTCAAGGGTTGGCAAAGACCAGTGTTCTACTCACCAATACCAGGCTTTTAGATCTACAGTCGTGAAAGCCCTGTGTTGCGTGCCCTTCAATTTGGGGGTATTCAGTGCTGCTGCTCGGGCAATCTCGCACGCAAGAGCTGCCACTGAGTTATCGATGGCAATGGCCTGAAGGAGAGTGCGAAGGCCAGTTTTGATGCTTGTGATGCGAATGGCCAGATGCGCATTCCCCCAAGAAACAGAAGCTTGCAGACAGACAATGCTAGGCTAGTAGAATTTCAATCGATGGAAATAGTTCGTACATTACTTGACTTTTTATAGGAGGGATATCCACTGTTCTATGTCTTGCAGGGTCACACAGCTTCAGGTGTCTGACGATGCTTCATATGATGGCGATGAAGAAGAGGACCCGGGTCAGTGCCGAAGGGTTCCACGATGCAAACAACCACATGAGTCTCATGTCTTTTCACATGAGTCGCCTGTGTTTACTCCAATCAAAGGAGCCATGATGCTCGAACAACTCCAACATATCCGCGATTCACAGGGGGTTTCCAGCATCGTCCCTTGTTGACCTACGAGAATTGTCTACCACGAATGTTGGCGATGTTTTTCAGACACTGGGAAGTAGTAGGTCTGTTGATTTGGTTTGATTACACTCCCTGAAATGATGGTGGAAGATGGTGGAAGTGGAAAGCGTCTTTGTAAGGGAAAATAGTCATCCAAGGAGGGTATGGGTTACTGGACCGTGAGTTTGGTGATCTTGGTAAGTGTGCCGGGCTACAGTCAGTGACTCATTTTTCTGGCGGGAGCGCCTCTCAGAGCGTTTTTGCACATTCTGTACCCGCAGGGCCACTGGGAAGAGGGTGGGTCACTCAGAACCCCTGTGGCTGATGCTTTTCAGGCGATTGCAGAGGCCTGAAGTCCAGCAATGATTCCTCTTTGTGAGTTAATGTTTATTTCAGAACCCCTCCCATTTTGCAAGAGTGGACCTGACTGCATCAGGGAGCTGATAACAAGCATTGACATTGGTTCGTCAAAGTGGTTGAAAAGCACAAACTCACATCCGGACTTGGTCTTCAATCTGTGACTGATGTACTTTGCGCAGCAGCGTTTTGTACCAGAAACACGGGATTTGTAGTGGTTGCACTGCAGTTGAAACGGAGAGAGTACCCTTCAAATACGGAGAGAGTACCCTTCAAAGTTGAATCCATGGGCTAGCTTTACAACCAGATTCACCTAAAATCGTTGAGCCTCCAGAAGCCTGCAGGATCCGGCGGATGAA